ACCATGCACTGACTGATAGGTCTTCAGAAAAGCAGCTGTTAATGATGGGGAGCTTGATCTATGCTCTTTGTGGCCTTTACGTCTGCCTTCAACACCATGATCCCCCAAACCCTGATGGACAAACTATTCATACTAGGACTAAGCCCCTCCATCTGCAACTGGGTACTAGACTTTTTAACAAACAGACCTCAGTCTGTGACGGTCCACAACTTCTCCTCCTCCACCATCACCCTCAGCACTGGCTCCCCTCAGGGATGTGTGCTGAGCCCCCGCCTGTTTACTCTGCTCACGTATGATTGTGCAGCTACCCATCCAGGTTGTCACATTGTAAAGTTTGCAGATGATACAGCGGTGGTGGGATGCATCACAAACAATGATGAGTTCAGCTACAGGCAGGATGTGGAACACCTGGAGAGCTGGTGCAGGAAGAACAACCTTCACATCAATGTGAAGAAGACGAAGGAGATTGTCGTGGACTTCTGACGTAACACAACAACATAACAACAACACACCCCCTCCCCACCCCCTGAACATAAGAGTATCTGCAGTGGAAGTGGTCTCCAGCTACAAGTACTTGGGTGTACACATGAATGACAACCTCCGCTGGAGCAACAACACCACCAGCCTGATCAAGAAAGCTCATCGGAGACTCTACTTCCTCAGACGGCTGAGACGAGCTGGTCTGGGAAGCTCAGTCCTCACCTCCTTCTACGAAAAGCTTTGCAGAGAGTGGTGAAGGCTGCACAGAAGATGTTGGAGTCAGTCTCCCCACCATCACAGACATCTACACCTCCAGATGCAGGAAGAGGGCCACCTGCATCATGAAGGACCCCACTCACCCAGCACACACACTTTTTGCCCCACTCCCCTCAGGAAGGAGGTTGAGGAGCATTAAGTGCAGAACCACTAGACTGAGGAACAGCTTCTACCCTGAGGCTGTTAGACTCATGAATCTCTAACCAGAATAATCACTGTGAAAAAAGTAATTGTAATTACACTTCATTGCTGATCTTATGCTGCTAATCTTATGCTGCTGATGTATTTCCCGCTGCTGTGTTCATTCGTGCTCATCTGCTCACACAGACTCATGTTCGTGCTGCTGTTGTTGGGCGTATTGTTTTTGTACTACTAGTGCTTAGTGTATTCTTAGTTTAGTGTTTTTCTTAGTTCATATCTTAGATCTTATTACTGTTTTCTTTTCAATTTATACTTTTGTTGGTTGTAACTGGGACCCTGTGTACAATTTTCATTCCGCCACATGTACCACATTTTGTGCAATTGACAAATAAAGAAACCTTTAAAAAAAATCAATTACTGATTTGATGACAGCTGTTTGCTCCTTCCAGAGGAAGCTGGACATTTTCAAAGAAGATCTTGAAGGAGACTGAACACTTCCCAAAATTACAGGAACAGATTCAGGATGAGAGAGATGTTTCTCCCTATGTTCACTTCATAAACAAGCTGATTGGGAACTTCAGTCGAAGGTTCAACAGCTTCTGGCTTGGGCAGCAGCTCCTCCTGCTAATCCAGAATCCTTTTCTCATCACAGAAATCAAAGGATTTTCCAACGAGGCTGCACAGAAGTGGGCACATGCAGGATCTCTTCAGCTTGATCTGCAAGGAAACGCAGAATTAAGAGAACATTTTGAGGCAACTGGCCTGCTACCTTCTGGTTATAGACTGTGTGTTCCCTGGTCTAAGCAACGTAGCACTGCACACATGGACTGTTTGGATCAACCTACAGCTGAGTCAGCTGTTTCCATATGAACTTGATGAAAAACAAGTACTGCTCCAGACTCACAGATGAACACCGACATGTCTGCACGAGCAAGGCACTGACTTCATTCCAACTGAGATAGACATTACGTGGCAGGGCAATCACATGCACATTTCTGTCTCCCTCCTGTTATGTTCGTTTCTGAGGTAAAGCAATAATGTTCGTGGGTCAATTTGACCCGGGGAGTGTTTAATCATGTAATAGTGTCAGAAACCAAAAAAATCAAACCTGGCACCTCTTCCTCTTCTTTTTTCCTCCAGTAGCAACCTAGAAAGACGAATAAAATGGTTAATATATTTTTTGATGCTCCTAAGACACACATAACATGCACTCGCACAAACACACACTTTTACTTACCTCACACACTGATGTGCTGGGTGTAGTCCTCTCCTGGATCTCCTTTACTACAGCTGCAGTAGCTGGGGTCCTTGGCATATGCTGTCTTCGTTGTCTATGTGGTACCACAAGTGCCTTGCCCAGCTCTTCTAAGAAAATGCGCCTCTTGTACAGCTTTGACACATTCCACTCCGGAAAGATTTCCGTCCAAAGGACAAATGTGTTGTATGCTGATACATCAATGATGTTGTAAAAGATGACCAGTGGCCAGCGCGCAGTCATTCTCTTGGTGCTGTATGACCCTGTGACCTTGTCCAGATTGTCCACCCCGCCTTTGGCAGCATTGTAGTCAAGGATCATAGTTGGTTTATGGTCCTCTCGTGTGCTGATTTCAGCATTTTTATGCAAAGTGCTCATGAGCACAACATTTTTACCCTTTTTAGGGCAATAGGACACCAGGGCTGTATTGTCTGTAAAGGCAAACATGGACGATTGAGGGTCCCTGTTCTTTGTCACCAGTAGCTCAGCGGGGAGTTCAGCTCTGTTCTTTCGGACTGTCCTAAACATTGTGAGCTTTCTTTTTAGAAGTTATTGACCCAAGTTATAGCTTGTGAAAAAATTGTCACAGGTTACCTTGTGCCCCCTGAGACCATTTGACATGTCAAGCACAACCCTTGTACCTTGATTTTTTTGTGGGGCTCCTCAAGCTGGCTTTCCAGTGTAAACCTGCATGTTCAAAACATAGCTGGTTTTTGCATCACATGCTGCCCAGAATTTTATGCCATATTTAGCTGGCTTGGAAGGCATATATTACCTAAATGAGCAGTGACCTCTGAATGCCACAAGTCCTTCATCTACTGTGACATTAGGGCCTGGGTTATAGAACAGGGGAAGTTGCTCAACCCACTTGTCCCACACTGTCCTAATAGCTGCTAGTTTGTCTGGTTCCCGTCTGACAACTCTTGTCTCTCGATTGTCAAATCGGATTACTCTGGAGAAAATATGAAAAGTCTCCAGAGACATTGTGGCCCGAAATATTGCCCTGCCTGTCTCTGCATCCCATAGACTGGCTGTTGATTCATCCTTTGACTTGTAAACTCCAGTCAGAATGAGAACCCCCAAATATGCATGTAAATGCATTTGGTCCAGCTCTTTCCAGTTCTCTCCAAAAACTCACCTTCCTTCTAGATTTGTCATTTGAAGAATGATTTTTTGTATTACATTAGGCATGAGTAGCTCAAAGACCGACTTGATATCTGTGACTCGAGTTACTGCCATCCTAGTAGGCCCTGGCACTGTCTTTATTATATTTTCTGCACACTGTTTTGCGAGGTGCTTAGTTGGAGATGAAGACCACTGAATTTCACCATTTTTTGACATGAATGTCTTGCTTGGAGAAACATGAATATCACTTTCATCAATTGGTTCATAATCAGAATCATCAGACTCAGAATTGACCTCAATACTGTCTTCAGCTTCAGACACCTCCTCTTCTATTTCACTGTCATGATCAGTGAGAAGATCCAGCACTTCCTGGGCTGTAAACATTTTTTTCCTGCTGCTCATTTCCTGACCTCTGACAGTGACGATATCACATGTACCTTCAGTGTGTAATGTGTTTAGGACTCCCTTGCAGAGAGTATTTATGCCCTCCCACCCCTCCCCTTCTGCTGAGTGTCCACTCAGTGTGGGTGGAGTTTTCCCACAGGAACAGAAAAGGTTCCCGTCAAAAGTTGTATAAACACCTGCTGTCTCACAAATTCCTTGTGAAGTAAAGAGAATAGTGAGAAAGTGGGTTTGTGTGTGTGCATGTGTGTGGTGTGTGCGTGCATGTCTGTGTGTGCATACACGTGTGTGTGTGTGTATGTGTGTGTGTGTATGTGTGTGTGTGTGTGTGTGTGTGTGTGTGTGTGTGTGTGTGTGTGTGTGTGTGTGTGTGTGTGTGTGTGTGTGTGTGTGTGTGTAGTGAAATATGTCTCATAGTTTCAAGGAAACAAATAGAATTGGAATTTTTTTTACCCTTTTTACCCTTCAACTTGACTGCCGGGTCAAATTGACCCGAACAGTATCGATGTAGCAAGTAGACGCAGGGGGTGGTACAAATGTGTAAAGAGAACCATTTTCAATTTATATGTTGAGTGGAACTATTAAGACAAATAGAAAAAGTTTCATGCAGAAAAAATATTTTCAAATATTAAAAAAAAAATTTAAACTTTAAAACGGGTCAATTTGACCTGCAACATAACAGGAGGGTTAAGAAAAGGCAAATAAAAATAAAAGAGAAAAGGTGGTGTTTAAATCTCTGTTTTCAGTTTGTTTTCCTAAAAGAGCCATTTTATTTATTTTCTGAAGATGCTGACATGTTTTATTTGAACTTCTTTAAGCCCCCCCAAAAAAAGAAAAGAAAGCTTTGCTTACTCTGCATTTGTTTTTGTTTTTGTTTGTTTTAATCAAAGAGCAACTTTTTTTGATTGTTTTCTGTTTTCTAAAGATGTTAACATTTGACTTTAAATGTAAGCCTTCAGTTCTTTAGGCTTGGACCATTTTCAGTTGAAAAGAAAAAGGCTTGTTAGGCTCTGTTTGCACAATTAAGATGCATTTTATTCAGAGCTTTCTGTTTTGAAATAAAGGTCCTACATTTATTTGTCTGCGACTACTTTTAGTTATGGCAAAAGAGCTAGTTGTTTACTATAAAGTGCAGATTGTTAACAGTGAAAATGTGAACAGGTAAAACCATAAAAGACAAAAGTTTGACTTTTTTTCTGACCTTTTCCTAGGAGAATTTTTAGTAACTGGACTTGAGCGAGTTTTAAATGAATACCCCTGCCTTACTGTATAACCACTCTGTTTTCCACAAAATATTTCAACTTCTTTTGCTCTTCTCCAGATGCAGAGGGAGTTGGACAGGAACATATCAAAGGAATTAAGCAGCGGTGAGTGAAGTTGTTTGTGTGAAAGCATCATCAGAACCACAAGCCTGTAGAGTCATCAGATGGTTACTGGTTTTTTGGTCCTCAGCCACAGCAGAGCTGGACGCAGCCTCTGTTCGGATGTCCCCGGTGGGCTCTGCCTCCAGAGTGGAGCTGGACCCCGTCAGCAGAGCAACGCAACAGTATTTGGAGGTACTGAAGAAGAATAACAGGATCTGAATACACATCACATTTGTTTCCTCAAAGGTATATTTATATTTGACAACCTCAAACATAGTTTTTAAGACAGAGTTTCTGCTCCAGATTTCGTTTGTGAATATTGGTGTTGCAAAGTTTGTATTTTTAAGCTTTTGTATTTATCTTTATTTTGCCACTTGGTTTGTGCCATGAAATGGTGCAATATCAGTGTTGCTCCCTCATGTATTATTGTGACATTCATGTTTGTATTTATTTGTTTATTAAATGAACACTGTATAATTAAAGAGGACGAGCTGGAAAACTCTGGCTATAAAAAAGGTGAACGCATTTGTTTCAGTTTTTAGCAGTTTGTTTAAATGTTTGGGATGCTTTTATTGTTTATTTGTTCTTCGTTATTTTAAATACTTCAAAACAAAAATAAATGTCATTGATGTAATGAGATATGCCACTGTAACAGCAGTGAATAAGTTTATACTCTGTTATTTAAAATCTAACGGTAATTAAAAAAGGAATTGTGTCATAAGATTTGTCATCATTTGAAATATATTTTCGCAAGTTTATGAAAGCATGGACCTTTAAAATATTTTTGGCCTAAATCACTATCACTATTTTTAATTGGTCTAATTAAACATGCATTTATGTTGGATGATTGCACTGAGTTTTTATTTAATTTTTTACTTTATTTATTTATTTCATTTTTCAAACTTGGGCATTTAACAAAAATATAGGGAAAAAAATAACAAAAAACATAAATGAGGGGAATTCACATGCACGTCACCTCTTTCAAACATTGAAGGCCCTCGCAGCAAAGTGCCACTCCGGCCTTACGGTGACCGCTGGAGCTCCAGCTACTCCACCCAGTCGCCATGGCGAATGCTCTTGTGCCTATCCCGCACTCGTTCACCAGGGTGCGACTGCGCATTTGCCAAATCTTCGACATCACCTGTGACTGGGAGAGCTCCAGCAACGGCACTCGGTCGCCATTGTGAACGCTCTCATGCAAATCCCGCATGCGTCCACCAGGGTGCGCATATGCCGAACCTTTGCAATCACCTTCCGCCCATATCAGTATGAGTCCAGCTGCAAGCCTTACAAGTTTGGCTAAAATCCAACCTTCCAGACAGGAGTTATTGTTACTTTCTATTTTGTCGCGAATGTAAAGGACTTCCTTTAGGCTTTTCAACATGTCATATGTGGTAATCAACAGTTAGCGAATACAGTTTCAGTCTTATATCTTACACAATGCCAAGCTGGAAGAGTCACCCAATAATCATCAGTTTATTCTCTGAGTGGGCCGGGCTTATGTCAAGTCATGAATCAACAATACCAATGTGTCTACAAGTGCTCACTGATGAATCATAAAAAATCAGGTCTAGATCAGATGATGTCTCACTGAGAAATAAATGTTGGAATAATCTAGGGGGCGCACTGGAGAGAAATGTTAAACAACAATACCAATGTGTGTAGAATGTTTAACTGATCACGCACAATAAATCTGGTACAGATTGGATGATGTATCACTGAGATATAACTGGTGGAATAATCTAGAGGGCACACTCGAGTCAAAAGATAACCAATAATATCAATGTGTCTAGAAATGCTCACAGATGACACACCAAAAATCTGGTCTAGGCCACATGATGTATCACTGAGATATAACTGGTGGAATAATCTAGGAGGCGCAATGGAGTCAAATGTTAAAGAACAATACCAATGTGTCTAGAAGTGCTCACTAATCATGCACAATAAATCTGGTACATATTGAATGATATTTCACTGAGATATAACTGTTGGAATTATCTAGGGAGCGCACTGGAGTCAAAAGTTAAAGAACAATACCAATGTGTGTACAAGTGCTCACTAATGACGCACCAAAAACCTGGTACAGATCGGATGATGCATCACTGAGATATAACTTTTGGAATAATCTAGGGGGCGCACTATAGTCATATGTTAAAGCACAATATCAATGTGTCTAGAAGTGCTCACTGATGATGCACAATAAATCTGGTGCAGATCGAATGATGTATCACTGAGATATAACTATTGGAATAATGTAGGGGAGCTGTGGAGACTATTGACCACTTATTATGGATTTGTTCAAGGGGTGGATAATGATCAATCATAGTGATTTTGGTGCACCTCGGCTCAAATCTGTGCAATTTAGAGCCAAACGTATTGTAACGGTGTCACATCCTAATTCGTCATGCCGCCACGCCCACATTCTCCAGCTAAAACTGTTTGTAATTTATCCTGATGCATGCTCAATAATCCAGGTAGAAAAATCTAAAAAAGTTAAATCTGGTCCTCTGGACATTAAAAAAAAAAAAAACACAAAACAAAGCAAAACAACAAAAAATATAGAAACGTTTCCTCTCTCATCCAAGAGACTTCCTCAGTCTGAGGAGCTGTATTCAGCTCAGTCTCTTAAATAGCACCTTCTCAGAGTGGATCAACCAGTTTTGCTGCTGACAACCAAAACCAGCTGCTCACATGGTCAAGAAGGACCGTCAGCCTAACAATGGATCATTAGCACACTGATGGCTGTTTACTGTTCACAGAGGGCTGAGTGATACTAGCAATCACAGCATTGTAAGAGGGGGACAGTTGAACCCGGAGGCTCCACCCCTGTTTAACGATGGACGATTTCTTTTCTCAAAGATGGCCTCCTTTACTCCTCTCTCAAACCATCGTTCCTCTCTGTCCAGGATGTGAACATCTTCATCCCTGAAAGAGTGACCACTGGCCTGGAGATGAGTGTAGACCGCAGAGTCCTGGCCTGATGATGTTGATCTTCTGTGCTGGTCCATCCTTTTGGCCAGTGGCTGTTTTGTTTCCCCGATGTAAGACTGATCACCCTCCTGACACTGAACAGCATACACAACATTACTCTGTTTGTGCTGGGGGACTGGATCTTTGGGATGAACCAGTCTTTAATGTATTTTGGGGTTTAAAAGCCACTGGGACGTTATGTTTAGAA